GCACGCGGGGTCAGGGCACGCGGGGTCAGGGCACGTGGGGTCAGGGCTCGTGGGGTCCGGGCGCAAGGGGTCAGGGCACACGGGGTCAGGGCACGCGGGGTCAGGGCACGTGGGGTCCAGGCACACAGCCTCCCACCTCCGCTGCAGTGGGCTCCCATCCACGTGTCCATGGCCGCCATGTGTTTGCAGGGAGTACTACATCACCATGGTGAAGTGGGCCACCAGCACCAAGGTTGCCGTGACCTGGCTGAACCGGGCGCAGAATGTGTCCATCCTGACCCTCTGCGACGCCACAACCGGGGTCTGCACAAAGGTACGGAGGGGGCGGAGCAGGGGGACAGGGACGGGGCAGGGCATGGAGACAGGGCAGGGGTGGGGACTGGGCAGGGGAACCAGGACTGAGCAGAGGGCTGTGTCAGGAAGCAGCCATGGCAGTGGAAGTTACTTCCAGCCCCTTCCTGCTGGGGAAATGTTAAAGACTCTAGCTGCGGCTGTTGCTGTCCAGGTCTCTGGATTCAGTGCCCCCTGGTGGACACATCCTGTACTGCTGCGAGCACCTGCGCTGCGCCTGCAGCCCAGAGCACGGGTAGAGCAGCTAGCTGATGCTCAGAGGGCCCCCGTGGGCTCTGGCACAGAAACCCAGCCTGACCCAGTTCTACTGCTCCTTCCTCCACCACCAGGGCCAGGCACCTCCCACCCCGGCCCCAGGAGGCCGGCCGTGAGTCAGGGAGGCTCGGCCACAGTGGGGAAAGGGAGTGAATGAAGGGAAGGGCAGGGAAGGTACAGAAAGCCTAAAGACAGGCCTGGTAATCTGAGAAAGCGGCAGGTGTCACCCCGGCCTCCCCTCAAGGCCTGGGACTCACCCTCCAAGCCTCTCCATGGGGTAGAGACCTCGCCAGGCCACAGCCCTGAGTTAAAGCAAATCACTGCGTTTAGAAGACAATCAGCACCCTCTGGAGGATCTTTCAGAAAGGCTCGTGGACCCTGAAGTTCCGTTCTAGACAGGCAGGGCTGGTACGGGCCAATCCTGTGGGACAGGTGGCCCTGCACGGCCGCTCTGGCCTGCTGCCCAGGGCCAGCTCCCAGACAACCACGGGGATCCTCACCACCAGCGTACGGGCCTGGTGACAGATGGCCTTGCTTGCCTGTCATCTGGAGTGGATTCCAGATATTTGGTGTACTTGTCTGAAAGGAAAGAAGATGGGTGGACACAGAGTTGAGCAGCTATAGCTGCTTCCTGTCCCTATGCCCTCTGGGCACTGGCCTGTAGCCCATGGTTATGGAGCCCCTGCCTCTGGCCCATGGACAGAAGCTCCTCCTCCCTGTGGCTTGTGGTTGGAGGACCCCAGCCATGGTCAGCCCAGCACCAGCCCTGCTGTGGGGCCCAATCATCAGTAGGCTGGGCGGCTGGATCCTCATGTTTGGGAACTTCCATTCGTTCATTTTTGTTCCTGATGTGTCCTTTTGCATGGTTCTGTGAGATCCTCTTTCCTGCCTAGTTTAACCCTCTTAAAGGGCTTTGGTTACCAGGATTATTTCTAAGAGTTGGAACCTGGAATTTTGGCTCCATGACTACAGGAATATTAGTGTAGTCTTCTGAGGCGCATGCGCCAGCCCGGCGGACGACCGGTGAATGGCCCCGCCTCCCACCCGAGCCTGCCCCACCCGGCGTCTTCCTTGCCATTGGCGATGCTGGCGTTTCTCCTGCCTGAAGGCAGGTGTGCTGGCCCGTGACACAGGGGCAGGGATCATATCAGCCCCGAGCAAGCCACAGCAGCTGCTGGGAGAGCAGGCAGCTGCCCTGCGGGGAAGCCTAAGCGTTCCCTGCACGGCTGGTCAGACCCCTGCGCACACAAAACCCTGTACTGCTGGTCAGACCCTGTGCGTGCACAGAACCCTGTCTAATGCTCTTCTTTCATTCCAGAAACACGAGGATGAAAGCGAAGCATGGCTCCACAGACAGGTAACCCCCTGCCTGACACCACACTGCGCCACACAGAGCGCCTGCCCATGGTCAGGGTGGGTGTCTGCCTGTCACACGTCCCCTGTGAGCCCATCTAGGGCTCGCCAGCCAGGTGCCAGTGTGTATGCCTGGCCCTTGTGCCTGGAGCAGGGCAGCAAGCTTCTCAGTTCTCCTCAGGAGCTGCCCACCCCCCCAGCACTCCCAAGAGTAGCATAAACTAAAATAGCTGTTCTTCTGGTTGTAAAATGCAAACTTGAAGGCATTTGCTAAGAAAAAAAGCTAACATTTTAAACAAAAAAAATCTACTTAAGTCGGGTGCCAGTGACTCACACCTGTAATCCTAGCTACTTGAGAGGCTAAGATCTGAGGATCACCATTCAAAGCTAGCCCAGGCAGGAAAGTCCATGAGACTCTGATTTCCAATGACCCACCTAAAACTAGAGATGGATCTGTAGCTCAGTGGCAGAGTGCTAGCCTTGAGCAAAAGAGCTCAGGGACAGCACCCTGGCCCAGAGTTCAAGCCTACAACCACCACCAACAACAACAAATCTACCTAAAACATGTAAAGGTGTTGTTTTCTGTTATAGAAACATTTTCCTCTGAGATGCTGCGTTGTTCAGTCAGGTCCGGCCAGCAGCCCACAGCCCCCTCCTGGTCACAGCTTAGGTGTACGTGCGCACACACATGCACATGCACATACACATGCACATACACATGCACACAAGTGCACACAAGTGCACACGCATCCACACACGCACTGCCATTCTGAGGAGCCACGATGCGTCTGCCCCCTGCCGAGCAGAACGTGGGACTGTGTGGAGTTGGGCTGGGAATGTTGGACAGGACGAACGGGGATGGCCATAGACAGGACTGGCAGAAACACTTCCAACAGCACAGGAAGACGCTCACCACAAAAACGACTCGTCCTCCCACACCGCGAGTGAATGGATTGTAAAACTTCCCCCACACCGGGGGACAGAAGCTCCCAGCGTCTGTACGGGCTGCACAGAAATCCCCTTTGCACGGCTTCTCGCGGCATTCCTTTCCTCCGGAGGGAGTCCGTGACGTCTGCTCTCCGGTGTGCATCTGTCACATGTCTGCGGCCTCCACACCAAGCCCCCCGTGTGAGGCTGCGCCAGCCCCCCGCCCCCCCACCTCCACCCGGCTGACCGGCCCCTGGACACGCAGGCCCTGTGTCAGCAGAGGCCCTCACGGTGCTGAGAGGCACGGCTGCGGCCAGGCTCGCTCCACACATCCGTCTCCCAGGTGGGACAGAAGGACAAGCCCCGGAGCTCCCAGCCTGGACGGCCGCACCTCGGTCATTACTCATTCCAGCAGGACGGGGTGAGCGACCGCCCAACCGGAGCGCTGCTCTTCTGAGTGACCCGCACCTCCACCAATCCCAGCCTCATCCCACGCTTCTCTTCCCTCCTCCTTCCCTGAGACTCAGTTCGGACCTTCATGGAAAAGAAACTACGTGAACCAACGTCCACCAAGTTCAAGGAATATTCTAGAGAACTAGACAGCCCTCGGCTGTCCTCATCCACACTGCCACTGCTGATGCCAAAATCGTGGGAAGTTGGTTCTGGTGCTGAGCCCTGAGCCCCTCCCCCACGGTGCCAGCCCTCCCCCCCCAGCAGGGGGAGGGGGGGCCCAGAGCCATCATTTTGCTTGAAGCTAGTCCTTGGGACTATTTTCCATCTGTGACCAGATTTTTGGCTTTGAGTTTTCAGAATTGGGATTGGCAAACTGGACAAGAAGGACGGGATTCACCCTGGGTGACAGGAGCGCATGCAGGCCCAATTTCCATCCCTGTCATCCTCCTGGTGGGAGGATGTCAGCCCAGCCTCCAGGCCTCAGGCCTCCCAGAGTCCAGAAACGTCCCTAGCCTGGAGCCAGAGGTGGAGCCCGGCTTCAGGTCCAGGCCCCTGGCCAACGGCCCCGCCCTGGACACTAAGGATAGAATTGCTAAGTGAGGGGCCAACCCCAAGGGGTGCCGCCAGAGGCCGGCCTTCAACCGTGAACAACGCCCAGAAGTAACGTTAATCATAAAATAAACGCTTCCTCAGAACAGAGCGGCAATGTGGCTGGTGCACTCTGCTGTGGACACACAGAAGTTCGTCAGCTGAGCAGCTGCTCGAGGGCAGCCGACGTGACTGCCCCTCCCTTTAAATGCCAGGCCTCCCACTCCACGGAGGAAGTCAGTATCTGCAGAGTAAGCCTCCTGGAGATCAGATGTCATTTTAATCACGAGGCGGTTTGTTCCTCCGGGCATATCTTATTTGCGCATGTTCGCTCACAGCTGGGGAGCTGAGGTTCCCGGGGTCCACTGGGTTTGTCCTGTCTTCTTCCCAGATGAGTGGGAGCTCCTTGAGTCTGGAAACAGACTTGGTAGCCAGCTCATTGGCGTTCACCGACGGAAACTTCTAAACCTGAGCCTCAGAAAGTCGATGCTTCGGGAAGGCTGGCGCTGGGCTGCTGCGCTGGGGACCAACCCGGATGACGGCCGCGCTGCACCCTATACCCCTAACTCTGGCCCGGGGAACCCCAGAATGGTGGCTCTGTTTCCAAAGAGGAGTGACCTTTGCTCGGATCCGGCCGTGTCCCCTCCTGTCTGCCGGACCACACTGCCAAGACCAAGGCACCGGGCCACCTCTCCCCTCCCTTCCATGCTGTAGAGCCTGGGGACTTCACCCATGTGGCTTTTTTCTTTGCCTCTCATCTTCTTCATGGGCTATTCGGGGTGAGATAAATGCTATTAAAGAAAAGAATGAAGGACAGGACTGAAAGCGGACACAACTGGGTACAACTGGGTTTGTGATTGTTAATATCTTAATTGTTCTGGGGTGAAGGGATCGGCACAGTTCCTGGAGAACACCGTGCACACGCACATACACACACACACATACACACTGTCTGCATCCTTGGCAAAGCACACACCCCTGTCTTCCATTGATGTTTCACGGCCTAACAGAGGCTGAGGTCGGCTCTGAGTAGGTCTCGCTCATCTCTCGATTCCCCTCTCCTCCTTTTAGAAAACCAAAGGTGTGAGGGGCTGGGAAGGTGGCTCAGTGGTAGAGCGCTTGCCTTGCATGCCTGAGGCCCTGGGTTCGATTCCTCAGCACCACATAAGCAAAAAGAAAAAAG